TCTTGACAAGGAGAAGGATGCTTTCTTATATATTTAATATCACAATTAAATCCTACTTTATATCATTAATTATTTATTAGTTATTAAAATTATCTATTTATTTCAATTGTCTATTAGTGACAGATAAGTAAATTGAACGTCGTTGTTGTGATTAAAGTATTGCTTTTCTAAGAAATTAGTCCACGTCGTTGTTGTGATTAAAGTATTGTTTTTCTAAGAAATTAGTCCGTAATTCTAAACTACTCCATGTGGGATCGATATCTAGGACTCCATTAGAGCCATATATTACTTGAGCGATACGTATACTTGCGTTGATAAGTGTGACTTTACAATTATTGAATATTTAATACGTCCATATTTATCTTATATTTTATTGCATATATAAAGTCGCTGTCAGCTAGGATGGATCAAAACTTGCTCTGGTACCATGTTAAGATTTACAAAATGAAATAGAGAAGAAGAGGAAGAAGAGGAGAAAGAGGAGAGATAATGAAAAGTGGCTAGGGTTTCATTTACATCAAGAAGCACACATTACCTGAGTAGAAGATAAACATAAATATAATAAGTAAAAAAACTAAACTATCCTTAAGTAGGGTAAAATAAAAGAAATTTAAAGACTATATTATCTAACAATGTTATCCTTCAACCTACTTGGCTTCATTAAATTCTAGAATTGAGATGAAGGGAGTTAGATCAAAGTTAACGAGCTCACAGTGAAAAGCTTTGCCAAAAGCTCATGAGTTGTTCCCCTTTAGACACCAACAGTTGAGGACATTTTTTTTGCTAAGAAGACATACGTCCTAAGATAGGTTTACTGGAGTCGGTATAGGAATTGGTAGGTTACTCGAGAGAAGAGGGGATCACTTGAAGAGGCCCAGATGAACTTGGAGAATGATTCTCTTGAATCAGTTTTTCTTGAGGGATCCCCAAGGAATGGATTTGAATTTCCTTCCCGTTTAGTCATTGAGCTCTTAGTAAAGAAGATGAGATTGATCCCGCCCTTTAGGGAGCTAAATTAGATAGCTTGAGAATCATTGGAGTTGCCTTTGAGAAGTCAAGGGCTCAAGAAGCTCAAGCTAAATAAGATAGCTCGTGGTTGAGCACTGACTTCTTTCAGCTACTTCCAACCCAAGCTGTGGAGTGGCATAGACTTTTTTATGAGCTCAAAACTTTTTGGCATGGACTAGATAGGTAATTAGAGATATTTCTATTACTTCAAAGTTGGAAAGTCAATCAACCTTTGCTGACCAGTCTCATGGAAAAGTTCAAATTGGCTTCATGCGTGGGCTTTGGGTGCGACTGGCCAACCTTTGTACAACAACAACAATAATAACAAAATTTTTATCCCACTAACCACTAAGCCGGATCGACTACAGGAATCCTTATTCTCCATCGCCTTATTCTCCATCGCGTCCTATTTAGGGCCATTGGGGGAGACTTTGCGGCAGCCCGACGCGTAGCGGAACGCGGGCCGGGGGACCCCTCCCGCAGTCCGCTCTTACCACAAGCTCGAACGCGGGCCGGGGGACCCCTCCCGCAGTCCGCTCTTACTACAAGCTCTCCTTTTTTACTTTTACGCCAATGCCCCTCCTGATGCAGTTTGCAGAAGGAGGTCGACGTATCCGCTAGTCCGACGTCCGATAACACCGGCGAGCAGCCATAGGAATGGGTGGAGTAGGAAGAATCCCCGGCCATAGGCCATAGAGGAGCAAAAGGGAGGCCAATGATATTAACGATAAGTGAACTTGCTGTCGATGCGCTTGCTCCCGCCATTGCTGATTTGAGGTGCCCGAATCTTGGGGCGACGATTGCGGGCCGGGGGATCCCTCCAGCAGTCCGCTCTTACTACATGCTTTCCTTTTTACTTTTACGCCAATGCCCCTCCTGATGCAGTTTGCAGAAGGAGGTCGACGTATCCGCTAGATAACCCCCGCGGGCGGCCATAGGAATGGGTGGCGGGATGAGTAGGAAGAATCCCCGGCCATAGAGGAGCAAAAGGGAGGCCAATGATATTAACGATAAATGAACTTGCTGTCGCTGCGCTTGCTCCCGCCATTGCTGATCTGAGGTGTGTGGGTAACCTTAGGTCATCAGTCACCGAAGAACTCAAATCGCTTTCACTCCATAGCCCCGGCGTCGGCCGCGGTGATGGCAGAGAGATTCTAGCGGTGAAGAAGGAGTATGAGGCAACCCGATTTGCTAACGTGAGGAAGAAGAAATTCAAGCGGTTGGAGAGAGTGAGGGGACGGTTGATCAACATTCCTCGATGGTCTTGAACTCCACACAGGCGTCTTCTCCACCGTCGAGCAGCGGAAGATCGTCGATTGCATCTATGATTTCCAGGAAAAGTGGCGCAGCTTAGAGGTATATTCTCCTTTCTTAGGTTTGTTCTGAAATTTTCCATAAGTTGTCTTCAATTGCTTGATTCTAGCTATAGGTCTATTGATTTTGCCTTTTTTTGCATGGTAATCTTGTACACAAAATTGATTAGGCGGGCATATATGCTAAACTTTAACCTAAAATAAATTATTGTCGAGCCATCAATTTGTACTTGTAATCTTTACCTGGTGGATATGCATGTAAGATGAAGCAGAAAATTTGTTTATAGATAAATTTTGGCATGTCCTGTAAGGCATCTGTAATTCATCCATGCGTGCAGATTTGTAGGAGGTCATATTTAGATAATAATCTGTGCTACTCTTTTCTTATTTTATAGTTTTTTTTTGGGTTCTTTTATGTTGTTGTTGATCAACCTTAGGTGCATATGATACTGTACTAAAGCCTTAAGACCGCATCAGTTTATTAGTTTCTTTGATAGAATGGAGGGCGTGTAGTTATCTTGCAATGTTGAATCATGCACTCTATATCCTTTTAGCATGTCTTTTTTTGAAAAACAACCATTCATTTAAAGCAAATGCCGAGGTTAGTTAATTTGGTGAAATTTCTGAAAGTTGGAAGTTTTATCTTAATAAAAATGTTAGCTTTTTAAATTTGAAAATTTTGCTGCATTCATAGAGGCGTTTCTATGCTAAATAAAGTCCCAAAATCTTCAAATGTTAACTTTGTAGCAGAACAATTTCCTTGTTTGTATTAATCTTAATTTAGATAATGTTTGCAGAATGGACTAACAATCGTTTTCATAATCATAAGGATTGCTTTATCTATTTTTTGTTAAGATAAAAAAGTAAAAAGAAAAAGCTAAAATTGCCCTTTAGCCTCCACCTTTTAATCATCATGGTTTTTGCATGCTACAAAATGACATTAAACTTCACAAAACTGCTTTCTTTATGAATTCTTCTGTAAGCTGCCTCTAAATTTTTCTTTCAATATCTGATTGATGACTTATAATTTACTTATATTTGCAGAGCGCACATATTTAAAGCCTAGAAAGTGAATGTGAGGTAAAGGGCGTGTCACTATACAGTTTGGTTGTTGTTACAATTATTCAGTGGTATTACTCTAATTTTTATTTTCTTAATTTTTTTGGTCTCTTGATATGTTGATGCACTAAATATCAATACAAAATACAGGATAGTAATGGGAATCCCCCTAGTATAGTCCGTCATGAAGAAGTCGATCCTACCTTTATTGAAACAAATGATCAAAAGGATGGTGGCTTGGCATGTTCTCCCGCCTACATTCTCTTTAGGTGATTGGGTGCCCCACAGAATGTGTTGTGGGCACAATTTATTGACATTGTAATGAAAACTCTACTATAAAGCAAGAGATGTACATTTGAAATAGAATAGATGTGGTGGAAGTAGCATAGTTTTGCACCACATTGTAGCTTTTTTCTTAGAGATTGATAAGATAGTTGCTTCTCATTTATAATAGAAAAGATGGCTGATGAGAAAATCATTATAATCTCTTTATATGAAATTCGTTTTTGGGTTATTGTGTCGGTCTGACACCATGCTTTGTTGGATAAAATTGTGTGGAAAAAATGCTCGACTTATAATATGTATATGTTTTTTTTAATATTCTTCACATGCAGATTGTGATGTTTTACATTCTTTGTTAGGTGCATTTTACTACTTTATTCCTTCAGTTTGTTGGATGATATTAGAAATTAACATTGATTTTGCATACACTTATGAATTCAATTAAAAATTTTATTGTTTTACAGAAGCGTGATGGGTAGCGCCACCCTGGATGTTGCAAGGAATTTCCAGTACAAAATTCAAGGCTCAAGGCTGTATATGGATATAATAGTGAGCGATATTAACGGGATATGGCTGAGAGGATTCTGCGAGCAAATATTTTTCTGATGTTTTGTATAATTCATTGCTAGCTTCCCCGAGCGTGATGAATTTTTGCTTCTGAGGTACTAATTATATGGTTGTCACAGTTTTGTTTTAAGTAGCTTTACTAAACAGGGACAGAATGATAATTTTTTCAGAAATAGTTGTTTTTACACAGCTGCCCCAAACAAACAGCCATATTCCCCGCAGCAGCTTCCCCACAACAGCTTTCTGGGGTTATGCAGATGCAGCTGAAAAGCCGAGAAGCTGCAGCCGCCCCAAGCAGACCCTTAGTGTCATATTTTCTTTTAATTCTAATAAATTAAGATCATTTTTTATACAATATGCCCTAGTCTTCCTAGTTCTACCTCTGTCTTTCTTAACATAAGTCGAATCTAAAACATCTACTTTTTTAAACGGATCATCAGATGGTCGACATTTATTGTGACCAAACCATCTAAGATGACACTCTCATAGCCTATAGGTTGGGTTGACCCATGGATATTTCCACCAATATTAGAGGTTTAAATTTTGTAAGTTAAATTCGAATTTAACTCAGGTTTACTCATGCTTATGTTTGATTAGGCTCAAATAGGTTATCAATTAGGTTTGATTTGATTAGATGAAAGTTTACTTGTCCTCTTTAGCTTTTATTTAGTTTATAGGTATAGTTACTTTGGTTTAAGTTTGATTTTAGGTTGAGTTTAGGTTCAAATTATGTTTGGATTAGGCTTAGTTCAAATTACATTTAGCATCTGAAGTTAATTTAGGTTTAATTAGGTTTATCTTGATATTAACCTTAGGTTAGATTTGAGTTTAAGTTAAATTATTTTTTGTTTTGGATTGGGCTTGCTTAGGTTCAATTTTGATGTAGCTATAATTTAAGTTAGATTTAAGTTTAGTTTTTATTTATTAGGTTTGATTTAAATAAGATTGAATTTAATTTATTTTTAAATTTGCTTAAGTTAGATTCTAGCATAAGTTAGCCTTAGGTTTAGATTAAGATAAATTTATTTATAGTTAGGTAAAATTAGCATTAGGTTTTATTTTGGTTTTAATTTTATGTCAGACTTTATGTAGTATTATTTTAATTATATTTTTAATATTAAATTAAATTTAGGCGTAATTTTAGTTTGAATTTATATAACTTGGCTAATTCAATTTTAAGCTTGATTAGTTTTGAATGTCATGTTCAATTTTGTTTTTGATTACTACCAAGCAAACCTCATAGGCCTCTTGAGCCAACTAGATTTAATGTGAATTTGGGCTCCCCATTTTCCATGGTGACCTTGCCACTAAACTTCCAACTACATAGGTTGAGCTAAGGGTCTAGTTAGAGCTATGATGGCCAAAAAGTTTTCATGAGGCAAGTGGCCATGCATGCAAATATACACGTCAAGTAATATGCGATTTAGTGGTTCTACATATCAATCTAATGAGGAAAGGATTATGACTTATTACAATGTTGAATCTCTAATTTTCTAAACCAACCAACCTAGTTTGACATGATAACAAGTGCATAAATAAAATCTTACAATTCTAAGCAAATAAAATCAAATATAAGCAAGATCTTGTAACACTTGAAGCGAGAATTTGAAAGTCTCCTTTAGAGGGGAAAGAATTGTTTTTCTGTGATTCATGTGTCTTGATTCTGTGATTTTCCTAAGAGTTCCTCTATGTGATGGTTATCAATTAGGGATAAAAGTTTCTCTATCCTATGCCTAGATCATAAAAAGAGTGGAAACTATTATATAGTTAACGGAAACTTTATCATGCATCATTTTCTATGACTCTTCAAATACCTTATCAATATTATAAAACCCTAATGATAATATGCTAATTTCACAAGTTTTTTTTTAGTTAACATATTTGTTCCACTACACAACTGGCATGCATCATAGTTAACGAAATGCTTTAACTTCTTGAATGGCCAGATTAGGAGTAAACAAATATAAAAAAGCTAACATAATAACATGCATACAAGATACATGTAGAAAATGTCACGATAAAAAATACATATAGGAAGAACCATGAAGAACACTAGCCTTACACTATAGAAGTACAAAAGAAAAATTAGCTACTGGACATGTGTTATAAAATCAGAAAAATAATCATTGAAAACATGTAAAACCAATACATAACTAAAGATAAACAATTTACAAAGATTTTTCCCTTTCCACACAATTGGCAAACCTTGTCGTATCAAGATTTTGCACTAGAAATACTCTTTACACCAGTAGAAATCCTCTTAAGGACACAAAGAAAAATAAAAGAGGAAAAAAAACCCTAAAAACTTAGTCCCTCAAAGAATGAGCAAGAAAACCCTTAGAGCACTTAAGAGCTATCTCCTATCTTTGAAACCCTAGCCTCCAACAGCCTATAGATGGCTTGAGTCGTGCCCAATGTATCCTTTTATATGTGGAGCTCTCCCAAAGGCAAGAAAAAAAATTATAAATGTGAATTCTACGCACAGGCGCGCTCGTGTCCATGCGCAATGTGGGTGACCTCCTTCATGATTAACCAGACATGAGGGCACTCCGCAAGGGGTGTGACTACGTTAATCTCCATGGCAAGTGCAGGGCATGAGGGTGATAGGATGACAACAAGGGGCACTGAGATGACAACACGTGGTGCTGGTGTGCTCCTTTATGATAGTAGCACGCGTATGGTATGCTCTCCATGTTATGCAATGACCGAGTATGGAAGTTATACGGGTGTGTTCTGGATGAGCGTGAGTGTGCTCCGTTGAGATAATTGAATGTAGGTGTGCTCTAATGTAGGCTCATGTGTACTCCTTTATGGTAGAGAGGCGTAAGTGTATCTGGCTAGTTTTTTGTCTTTTTCTCCTATTTCATCTACTTTTTGTTCCCAGGTGGCTGAAACAATGTAACCTGCAATAAAACATAAAAACACCTTCCTCATTAGTCAAAATATTATGAAATTTGAAATAAATAAAGATTAATATGAAAGAATAATGCACATATCCACATCAAATTAGTCAAACTTACCTCCTTTTTTCCCTCAAGTAATTTTATTGCTTAATTAAGATTTTAGAGAATCAGGTTTTGCATCAACTCATAAGGTTTCCTTGCTTTTTAGTACTGTCGGGTAAGAATATAATAAAATTTGGTGCTTTCCATGCTTAGTGAGAATTTTTATGAATCTCTAATAAATTGTAACTTTCTTTATTCACCTTCTTCTTAGCATAAATATTTCTCAATTAACTTAATTTAGTGTCGCTACAAGTCCTTTCATTAATCCCAAGCAGTATTAAGCAGCTTAATTATTATATAAACAATATGCTATCCTTTAGTTTTTATTTTCCTTATAGAATCCTCAACTCCCATTAAGAAAGTGCTTAAATCATCTAAGTTTGGGAAGTGAGCAAGAAACCAGAAGTTGAATTACTACTCCGCTTATTCTCATATGTATTTTTCAATTATTTTTTTCTCATTTCCCTTTTCAAGAAAGATCCTTTTTGGAGTGTTTCTTTTATTTTTTTTCCATCCTTTTATTTCTTTTTTTTCCTTTTTATAGGAGTATTACTATATCTAGTTAAACAAGGGTTTAAAGAATTTTTGGAATTTAGTTTTCCTCAACTTAGGGTTTTTAACAACCTCTTACTGCTCATTCTTAGGATCATATAAATCAATTCAAAATCATTTTCAGTTGTATTATTTGAATTAAAAAATAAGGATTCAAAATCTTTTGCTTAATTACTAAATTTTGTAGGCACACTGTCGGCAGTATTTTTGGTTGGAGGAATTGTCTGTGAGAAGCTGTCGGCCACCGGAATTGAAATCACGCTGCCCGCTTCAGAAGAACATTTTTAATTTATATATAGATTTAAGTTTAGAAAAATATGAAATCAAACTAACACCACATTTTCCATCGTTTAAGATCCTCAAAGGTAAAAACAAGACTTGAGGATGAGACTCGATCAAATAAACTGAGAAATATATAACGTTTATTTGGTCTGGGAAATAGTTTTATTTGCCAACAATTTCCCTTATTTAATATAAAGGATTAAATAGTGTTTATATTAAGCTGGGTTCAGATAAGCTTCCTATAAGGGCAAGCCCCTATAGTTAATTACATCTGAGATAACCGAAGTCACCTAAGAAAACTCTCAATAAAAATCAAGAAATATTATTCTTAAGAGATGTCAAAAGGATAGGACTTTTCAACGAGATCGGACGAAGAGGTGTGAAATGAGACTGACTCAAATTTGGAACATTTTGTTTTGGATTCCAAAGGAGGAAGAACTATGGGATTTCATAGATCCAGGGGAGAACCTCGGTGACCTCCCAAGCTATCCTATTGTTTGGCTTTAGTTTTGAGGAGAATTATTTAAGTGTTTCATCCTGCCAATTTTATTTAATTAGAGCTTACATTTGTGTGGAATGATCACACAAATAGCCTGAAAGATGTGAGGATTTAGGTCATGATGAACGACAATCTCGGAATCCTAAAACGAGTTAGGGCTTAAATTGTATAGCAGGGCTATTCAAAGGCCTAAAGAAAAGGTTGAGGATTTATGTCGCACTTGGCAGACGACCTTGAAATCATATGGCTTATTGTTTAGTTCTAAGGAAAGATATG